CTTGAGCCCAGGAGTTGGATGTTGCTGTGAGCTGTAATGCCACGGCACTCTACCCAGGGGGACAGCTTGAGGCTCTGTCTCAAAAAAATAAAAATAAAAATAAAAATAAAAATAAAGACAAGCACAGGCCTATAGTCCCAGCTACTTAGGAGGCTAAGGAGGGAGGATCACTTGAGCCTAGGAGTTTGAGAGACCAGCCTGGGCAACACAGTAAAATCCTGTCTCTTAAAAAAAAAAATTACTACTTTGAACATAATTACATTCTTTGAAAGGGGTATATCTATCTAAATGGTCTGGATAAACGTTAAGAGAAGGCTGGGCAGGACAACTGACAGACTGTCCTGTAGTCATCACTTATGAATGGGAATACACGAGGAGGATAGACAGTATTTTTCCTTTAAAAAGAAAAACATACAAAGTAGTGAGTTTATGAGTTTTTACTTTGAGTGAGTTAATCTGCACTTCACAGCTAAAATCTCAAGAAGTAAACTCCTCCTAGAGAGCTGGTAAGCTCCAGTGGCTTTCTAGTTATAGAGTGAGAAGTCCAAAAGTCCAACTTGGGGCAGGGGAGCCAAGTGTAACATGGGACATACCCACTATGGCATGCCTGTGGTCTACCCCAGCAAAGCAGGCAGCACCCGGCACCCTCTGCCAGCTCTTCCTTTCTAGGGTGTAGAATCTACTCCTTCTGGGCCCCAGCAGCTCTTTCCCTTACTGAACAGCTCACTATGCCCGTTCCCTCTGGCCCTCAGGAGAGATTCCCAACACTGTCTGGTGGCACACACCGACACAGATACCTGTAGAGACCCAGGCTCCCTTCATGGCTGGCCCAGATATTACTGACTACATCTCCCATCCCCTCACATTCTCCCACCCTGACTCCAGCCTTGATGCTTCTCCTGGACACACGATCTGCACCTGCAGCCCCACATGCTTTGCCCCATCTCCTGAGATCCCTGCTCCCAGACCACGCTCTGCTCCACCACTGGCTCATCAGCCAACTTCAAGGCTCCACATTCCAGGTTTATCTGTGTATATGGGGGTTCTAGGGGCCAAGGGTGTGCCTAGAAAAGCACCTGGTCCAGGGCAGGTACCAGGTAGGGACCTGAAGAATGAATCAATGAATGATTCACTTATTCATTCAATACATGAAATAACCCCCCTACCTTTTTTTGACTGGGGCTGGGTTTGAACTCGCCACCTCCGGCATATGGGGCTGGCGCCCTACTCCTTTGAGCCACAGGCGCTGCCCCCCCATTTTCTTTTTTTTTTTTTTTTGAGACAGAGCCTCAAGTTGATCCCCTGGGTAGAGTGCCGTGGCATCACAACAACCTCCAACTCCTGGGCTGAAGCAAATCTCCTGCCTCAGCCTCCCAAGTAGGTGGGACCACAGGCACCCGTCACAATGCCCAACTATTTTTTGGTTGCAGCCGTCATCGTTGTTTGGCGGGCCCAGGCTGGGTTCGAACTCACCACCTTAGGTGTATGTGGCTGGCGCCTTAGCCACTTGAGCCACAGGTGCCGAGTTCCCCCCCTACATTTTTTTTAAAGTAGAGGCTACTTCAGTATTTTACTATTATAAAAATAATAATGAATGATTTTTAAACCTAAATTAACAAAATAGTAAGACAAAGTGGTTATTCTACCTTTGGGAAACTATACTTATATATTTTATATAAATATGTATCTTACGTACATATATAATCTATTCTAAAGTACTACATTTAAAACGTTTTGATACTTGGTCAAAAACAAATAAATTAATGGAAGAAAATTACAAGCTCAGAAGCTAATTTACTTATACTTAGAAACTGATTATGAGATTAAGTTTTTCCAAATGAAGAGCAAAGAAGCAGCCAGATGCAGTGACTCACACCTAGCACTCTGGGGAGGCCAAAGCAAAAGGATTGCTTGAGTTTAGGAGTTTGAGGTAGCTATGGCTAGGCTAATATCATGGCACTCTAGGCCAGGGGAAAGAGTAAGACTCTGACTCCAAAAAAAAGCAAGAAAGAATTACTTAATGATAGTGCTATGATAAACTGAATGACAGTTTGGAGAGGAAAATGTTTAGAAAAAGCTGTTCCAGCTCGGCGCCTGTGGTTCAAGCAGCTAAGGCACCAGCCACATATACCAGAGCTGGTAGGTTCAAATCCAGCCCGGGTCCACCAAACAACAATGATGGCTGCAACCAAAAATTAACCAGGCATTGTGGCGGGTGCCTGTAGTCCCAGCTACTTGGAAGACAGAGGCAGAAGAATCACTTGAACCCAGGAGTTGGAGGTTACTGTGAGCTGTGATGCCATAGCATTCTACCCAGAGCAATAGCCTGAGGCTCTATCTCAAAAAAATAAAATAGAATATTAAAAAAAAAAAGAAAAAGAAAAAGCTGTTCCTATGTTGAAGGGATAATCAGCCATGTGAACATCCACCCTCTTCCTCCCTGGGCCCCTCCACTCAGCCCTCCAGTACCCTTAGAGATCTGTCAACTCCAACTTAGCCTGTAGCCACACCACCCACTGATTCACCACCCTCCCTCAGCTGACTCTCCTGAGCCAAAGGAGCCCTCGTAACTTTTAGACTCAGATATGAAAAGGATGAAGCCATATGGGCTTTTCTCCATAGCTACAGCAAAGCTACTCTAAGGCTGTACCTGGAGCATAGGTGGAACCTCATTCTGAGGTGTTTCTTCTGCAAAAGGAAGAACACAGTCAGGCCTCTCCTGTCCTAGAGATACAAGTCACACCTCTTCTGGAGCCAAGCACAGAGCAGGGGATTGAGGCAGGCACCCGACTCAAACACCAAGAGAGGATGGGGCATGAACAACAAGTTGACTCTGGCAGTGACCATAGCTCAGTGGGTAGGGCGCCAGCCATATACATCAAGGCTGGCAGGTTAGAACCCGGCTCAAGCCAGCTAAAACAATAATGACAACTGATAGCTGGGGACAATGTCTGTGGCTCAAAAGGGTAAGGCACCAGCTCCATATGCCAAAGGTAGTGGGTTCAAACCCAGACTCAGACAAAAAAAAAAAAAAAAAGCTGGGCATTGTGGCTGGCTTCTGTAGTCCCAGCTACTATGGAGGCTGAGGCAAGACAAGCACTTGAGCCTAAGAGTTTGAGGTTGCTGTGAACTGTGACACCATTGCACTCTTCCCAGGGCGACAGCTTGAGACTCTGTCTCTTAAAAAAAAAAAAAAAAAAAAAAAGGAACAAGAAGCTGACCCCAAAGATCCACAGCAGGCCAGAGAACCTGCACAAGCTACACCCACTGAAGGACCAGAGACAGCACAGGGGCTGGGCAACCATCACTCAGAGCTGCAACACCCATGCAGGCAAGCTGCCCAGAGAGGTGAAATCCAGCAGGAGAGATGGGAGGGGCCTGTACATTATAAAGCCCAGTGAGCCACCCCTGAGTGCTGCTGACCTGGTTCACAGCTGGCACATGTTTGGGAGCCCAGTGGCACTGGCTTGCCCCACCTAGCAACAGCACAGGAAGCTGTGCCACTTCTCTGCTGCCCAGAGTCAGGGAGACACCTGAAGTCACAAAGCACAGCCACAGATGGAGTATCTGTATGTGTACATGATTTTGAAACAGTGAGTTATTGGACCTAATGTTAACTGTGAACCTTTTTTTTTTTTTTTTTTTTTT